AGATTTATTGAGGTCGTCGAAGTGTTTAATGTAGCCTACTTTACTACTCTGAAGGTCGGGAATGTTTGGATTGTCAGATTGGGTTCGTGTGTTATGGTTTTAGAATCTCATTCAACATCAGGATCAGTAAGAATTAGCTTTTCGCTCTATGCTTTCTAGAACAATGCAAATGGTCATAAAGGGTACAATCTGTAATGTAGAAATTATAATTTGTTAATGATGCACAAGTTCTCACGTTCATTCTTTTACAGATGGTAAATCCTGCTTACTATGGGTTGGATAGCATGGAACCCGAAATTCTAAGTTCTTACTTGTCTAGGTAAAAACACTTTTTATTGATCTAATGGAATTTTCTTTTATTCAACATTTTAAATGTCTTAGGAAGGTTGGTACATGTGGTGAGCATTTTTCTCCGACAGGTTAGTACAAAGCACATTTGAGGATCTCGAGGATAGTGGATGCATAAAGATGGAAGAAGACAAAGTGGAGCCAATGATGCTGGGCTCAATAGCATCTCAGTATTATCTTAGCTTCATGACTTTATCCATGTTTGGCTCAAATATAGGTCCAGATACGTCACTTGAAGTAAGTCATTACAGTTGGTTATGGGATCAATGGGGAAGATTACGGTTACTATCTTTGCATTGTTTCTCACCAAGTTTGTTGTGTAGGTATTTCTGCATATTCTTTCTGCTGCTTCTGAATATGATGAACTTCCTGTGCGGCATAATGAGGTAGTATTCTTACAAGTTCATTATTATTAATTTGCAGTTGTTCATTACTTAGAGATGAACCAATAGTCATATAATCAGTGACGACAGGGTAAAGCACTACCTGAAAGGTACATTATGTAAGCTATCACATAAGAATGTTTGACGATAAAAATAATGTTCAGTTAAACTGTTTCCTAAAGCCATCACATATAGCAATGAAATCCACTACTTTTCTTTTGGCACGCTGGCATGTTAGTAAAGGCTTTTTATAGTTTATTTACAGGTTCATGAAGTCCTTTTTTTTTTCCTTTTTCCATCTTCTTAGTTGTTGAGATATTATATGCATCTGTAGTTGGAGTATTTTTGGTATTGCAAACTTTTTCTTGTTCATGAGTTTCTTGAAGTAGTAATTATCTCATTCTCAGGTTTCATTTTTGTCTCATAATCTAACGTAGCATCTCTAACTGTTTAAATCTCTATAACTCAGTCAGCTTTCTGGAGTCTACCAAGACATGTTGAAATCTGAATTTGACATGTTTTGTTTCGTATCATTTACTGTAAACTGGTTGATTCTGGTGAATATCATTTTTTCAATTATCTCATTTATTCTCTTAATTATCAAATTTATTTAGGAAAATTACAATGCTGCTTTATCCGAAAGAGTTCGATATAAGGTGGACAAAGATCGACTTGATGATCCACATGTGAAAACAAATTTACTTCTTCAGGTTTTTCTTTCCCTTTAAATGTACCTTTTGATTTGATGATCAACTTTTTTATTGTGCTCATCCATTTCTTACCATGGAATTCAGGCACATTTTTCTCAGTTGGAATTACCTATCAGTGACTACATCACAGACTTAAAGTCAGTGTTGGATCAAAGTATACGCATTATTCAGGCCATGATTGATATATGTGCTAACAGTGGGTGGCTATCAAGCTCAATTACTTGCATGCGTCTATTGCAAATGGTCATGCAGGTTATTCTCTTAATAGTTTCTTTTGTTTTCTAAGTAATAAAATAAATCGGCTTAAATATTAGTGGTATTGAGACAGGGGAGTGGGTGAATGCTTCTTCTTCTTTGCAAGTTCTTCACACAGCCTAAATATCACAACTGAACAATCATTTCGAAAACAATGTGTCGAAAGTAAACGGATAAACTGCTTTGTATATTTTTCATACTAAGTAAAGAAATAAAGGCTGAAAAACAGTGTTTGGTATAATGTGGAATTGAGAGGGGGCCGATGACTTTTTAGTTGATTTAACTTTAACTTGTTTGAGATTTTCAAGGATGGCAGACAGGCACTACCCTTATATGATATTTATGGAACTTTCAGGGATTGTGGTGTGATGTGGATTCGGCATTGTGGATGCTCCCATGCATGAATGAGGATCTTGCAAGTTCACTTAGAAAATTGGGATATCTCACTCTGCATCAGTTGTTGGATCTCCCCAAGACAACTTTGCAAAATTTGATTGGAAATGTTGCTGCTTCAAAATTAACTCAGGTCTGGAATGTTCTCCACGATATTTCTATATGCTTTTACATCTACTTTTTTTGGATGGTTTCAAAAGTTCTGAATGTGAGTGTTCTGGTTTAGTCAAAATGTTGTACTAGATAAGCCAAAATTTTGCATCTTTAGGTGGCATATTTACGTCATGAACTTAAGAGATAGTGATATTTTAGCTGTGTGGGTTAAGGACGAACGAACATGAGGTGAAAGTCTTTCCATCCCAACAACCTGTTAAGGCACTTCCAAAGTTGAGATTCTTCTCAAAGCTCCTACTAGTGGAGTATTTTAAACGGGTTGATTAACTTTTCAATGGCCCTCAGCTCATCAGTATGAAAATGAAAGCACCATCCTTGATCATGTATTCTCTTCGGCCCACCATTCTTTCATTCCAAGAGTGAAAGTGCTCTGATGCGAATTTGATGTAATGTCGAATCCCTTCATTAATTTCATCCTGAAAAGGAAACTGTAGCGTGGCCGCATGACAGTGAAGAGTAGTTAAAAATAACTAACATCCAGCTAACTACCCAGCCCAATTAGTAGTTAGCTAGCAATCAATGTGGCTACATCATAGCGCTTTATCTGATTTAGATGTTTTGTTTTAACAGGATTTGCAGTATTTTCCACGTGTCCAAATGAAGATAAAACTTCAAAGAAGGGACGATGACGTTGAAAACACTTCTCTTCACATTAGATTGGAGAAGATAAGTTCGAGGAAAAATAGATCCAGGGCATTTGCTCCACGGTTTCCGAAGGTAAAATTCTCAGCTCCGTTCCCGACTAGCAAGTTGGCAAAAATTAAATTACTTATTTTTTTTGCAGATAAAAGATGAAGCATGGTGGCTAGTTCTTGGTAATACCTCCACTTCGGAACTGTATGCTTTAAAGAGAGTTTCTTTCTCTGATCGCTTGGTCACAAGCATGCAGCTACCTCCAACAAGAACTGGTTTCCAGGTTAAAATTCCTCTGTTTGACACAATTGTTTTTCCCTTTCTCCTCGTGTTTTAATTTTGCGTACTACACTGATGGATTGTGATGCCCTTATTAGTGAAGAAATATAGCTTTGAAGCTCAACCTTTTTAATTCAAGCAAACTACATGGTTTGGATTTTTGAATTGCCAGCTCATTGATTTTAAAGAATTCGAGTTTTTATGTAATTAGCATGACAGTGTTCATGTAAAGTTACCATGGATGATAAAAATTTGTCCGTTGCATTATCTCTGACATACTGACATGTTTTTTCAAAAAGAAAAGAAATGAAAAACATTCGGACATGCTTCTAATATGCTTTATGGTGTGTTTCCAGGAAATGAAATTGATTTTGGTCTCAGATTGTTATATTGGTTATGAGCAAGAATACTCCATTGAAGAACAGATAAAAGGAAGCAGTTAGATCCAATCACAATCTGGAGAAGACAGAGTCGCAATTTGCTGGACAAATTACTATGGTATTATTTACAGGCATTACTACGTGCCCACAATTGGATGTTATGTTACAAACAGTTCAGCCATACATGTGAGTCGTGCGACTCGAGTGTAAATAAACCAAACCATTCCAGTTTGGTGATTATAATTGGGTATACATTTGATGTACAAGTGGTCAATTTTGTCAGTTTAACCATTCGTTTACTATAGTTAACTACCCTGTTAATTTGATGCCAAATTACAAGTAGATTATATCACAATCCGTTGAAAGTGTCTTGCACCATCATTTCTAGACTGAACACATATAATGGATGTCTTTTTCAATTGAGGTAAATGAGACATACTCATCATCTACTTTTATTTATCTCTAGAACAGTTTTACTCACTCCAAAAGTCGATTCTAGATGACAGAGAATTTTAAGTTATCAAGTTTTCACACCCTCAATATTATTGGACAGTATCCAAAAAGTTCCAAACGTCCCAAAAGCCTTTTTATTAAGCCTCAATATTATTAGAACACTTTGTAAGTGCCAATGTTATAGACTCGGATGGGTTTGATATACTTTCAAATTTAAACACTTCTTTGGTACTTTTTCATGAATAATCTCTCTTAGGTCCTTAAACTATAAGGATGTCAATTACTTTAAAATAACTTTTTTTGATCATCATCTCAGGTATTTCTTCAAAAGTCAAAATCAGCTAAACACACTATACCTGATGTAATGGGTACAGAAAATCACAGGTAAACCATGGCAACAATTGATTGAATTCAGAATATAGAATCATTTTTCATTGCAAATTAAAGATTTCTATTTATGTTTTATATACATCGTATACAACCATCAACCATACAAGCATACAAAATATAGGTTCTTGAAGAGGTTACTCCCATTCTGCATCAAAGAATCCTGCATCTCTCATTTCTGAATAATACGCGTTCTCCAAAAGGAAGTCTTCCTCCTGAAAATAAAGCAAATTCTTAATCCTAAATATCCAATATGGTAAGAATGAATTATAGATGATGGATCAATTATCCAATATGCACAAATAGGATTTCACCTGGAAAAAATCTGCCAGAAACGTCACATACAGGAAAGGAAGATACATAGAATGGTAGCTGATGACCGTGAAATTGTATAACCTACAGCATAAGGAACTATCTGTGTAAGTTGTGCAGAGATTCAACTTACTGGAAACCTGGACAGTAACTCGCCATATGAAGGTAGAATTACCAGATTCCAAACCCTACTCCAAACGCTGCGAGCCCACTGGCGAAAAATGAAAGAGTACTAACAACAAACAACACAGCAATGTAATTATAGAATGCTGGTTTGGCTGTAACCACAACAAAATGGCAACAGAAATTCCTGTTAATGTAATGAAAATCGGCGAATATAACAGACTGAGAGAAGGATTTGTGCTAACGTGGTAGCTTATCTCTCCATTTTGAGAAATGTACAAACAATATGAATCCATATGCTGCAGTTAGCAATAACTCATGGATGGTCCAGACGCCCCACTTTGACCAGTGTAAACTGCCAACCCCAATGAACAGTGGGATGCCAAACCCAAACACGTATATGACCTGAACAGTAGTTTATAGGTAGATATGTAAATTTCAATTACCATATCAGGATTCAAGAAGAGTGAATAATCACAGAACACTTCTTATTGAACATTGACAACAGACGAACAAAAAACAAAAACAAAACGAAAACAGAACTTATCGAAAATATGAGAGGTACAAAAAGAGCTAAAAAAATCATGGAGACCACATTAAACCACTCCCGTTGGTAAAAGAAAAATTGTTTCGTTTTGTACAAAAAGAGCTACAAGAAAATCATTGGGTCCGCATAAAACCACTCCAGTTGGTAGCAATAAAGCAAAATTGCAATTACAAAACAAAGGAGAAAGTAGAAGCGAAGCACATAATCCATATATTCATCTGATAGGTCGATGGTTCGATCCCCACTCCATAATTGATTAATTGTTAAACTCAAATAAGAACCATAACCACACAAAGTCGTAATCAAGAAAATACAATCGAAAATGTCAAATAACTACAAATGAAACAATAAATCAACCACAAATAACTGTTCAAAAAATGCCCAGTAACTGAGATCTCAGTCATAAACTTGCAGATATTGACCTTGGCACAGACACAAATCTCAAAGTACATTGATATATTACCTTAAGAAGAACATCAACACCAACTAGAATTGCCGAGGTGATAAAATTATGCAACAATGCTTCCATCCCACCAGAATAATTTTGTTTGAGTAAGAAAGCTACCAGACTAATTTCCAGAAACAACATTCCAGATGATGTGAACAAAGACAAGAGATTCCAAGCAACCTCCTTCCCAGGAGAGCATTCCCATGCCTGGTTTACAAAGAATTAAAACAGCACAAATTAACGAAATGCATGTCCATCAAATTACTAACGGTAAAGGTATGCAAAATTAGAACTGCAGTATAATACATCACAATAAAATATATAATATATTATGGCTTGGGTAAACAGTATGTCAAATTCTAATGTGGATAACCGGTTCATGCTATACTTGGTGTAATCACCAGTCTCGTGAACCTCAGAACATATGGAAGTTCCAAGCCTGAAAATATGGGGTCGATTCAGATTCAAGACAGCTCAGCTTTGTCCCATAAAAGAAGTGTTAGAAGCAGTAAGTGTCTAGTTTCTAAAGATTATTTTGTCTTTACATCGAAAAATACTTTCATGATGATGAATGAAGGATAAGCACCTATGTTAAAACTCTCTTACGCACCAGCGGCCTAATTGGTACGTTCAATGCAAAATAAAACAAAATGTAGTAACTGCAGGTTATCTCTTCTTAAAGTGCCACCATCCATCCTTAATATTTGATGGAGGCTACTGGGATTGATTAAGATGGCTTTGTCTACCCTCAGGTGTAAGTAGGCCTATACTTGTCTCCATGGCGTCAACAAAGTTGTAAGAAGAAGACCAAGTTTTCTGGTTGGATGCAACTGAACTCTCATTTAGGAATAAATTAAAAAGGAATTTTCAAGTTGTTGAGAAGGCTTGGCAGTGGTTCCAGCCCGAGGAAATTATTTTGTAGCCTTCCTAGTCAATTGGAGAAGTTATTTTTTCTTTTTCCTACTATATACACCTTGTATAGGGTCGTTTCCTCTTTGTGATGATCAATAGGAGTCCTAGGGCTCTTTGGGAGCTACGAATAGCTTTCTATTTTCTGTTGACTTCAAAAGCTATTTGGGCTAGCTTGTCGAGAGAGGATTTTTGTTCTATCACTTTCCTAAAACCTTGGTCTTGGGGAGGAGAACAACTCAAAATATTCTAAGAAATCATGCCATCTAGAAACCAAGAGAACACAAGTTTCAAAAACCAATCTTCCTAGATTATTAAATTTGAGAACTCCTTCTCCACAGAGTTCTCAAACAGCCCCTAATTTCTTATGAAGGAAATTCCACATTACTTCGCAGCAATAAAAATAATTTAAGAAAAGAAGAAGTAGATGCATTTTTAACCAGTAAACAGATAACCCAGTAATAACACTAGATAGCTCATTAATTGAAGGCAAAATACAGTTCTTTGAAGTCCTCCACACCCCCACACTTGCTGGATATCGAAGAAAGAGAAAAACATCCAAAGAAACTCACCTGAAGAGAGCACCAAGCAAGATTGAGGACGGTAGTGATCCAGAGAAGGGCATAATACGAAATCATTATAAACGACCGACCAAGAAAAAGCTTCTTCATGTTCTTGACAGCGCTGATCGCCAAATAGATCGCGAACAAAGCCGACGGCACAACCAAGAGAACAGTATACGACATTCCATGGCATCCGGCAGTGTGTCCATTGGCCCGGGAAGAGAGACTCTCAATTGGCGCCAAAGGGTCTGAGGCACTGTAAACTGGTTGGAGAATCGTCCCCATTTCACGAACACGGAGCAGAGAAATTAGGAAAGTGCCCCTAATTTAGTGAACTGGGATCATTCCAATTTCCATTCCATCCACAAAAGAATGAAGCATTAATTGTTGGCAATCGAGAAAGAGTTGTTGAAGTTGAAGCAAATAATCAAAATTGCAAACAAACAAGGCGATCCCGCAATTAGAAGTCGTTGAAATCTGCGCGCTGTAATCCAATGGAAAACGACTGCAGCAATAACTAATCCATGCTTCCGGCTATCCCTATCAAAATTGCAAACGACAAACGTTTGACTAAGCGACGTCGTATTTATGTCATTCTCCCAATGTACTCTAAAAAATCACTAACTTTTCATTTTTTTTCTACTAAATATAAATATAGCATGCTTAATTTTTATTTTTCTTAATATAAATCATATTTTATTATTTTGTTACTGTTTTTCGTGATCATAATAAATCGCAGTTTTTTTTAATTAAAAAGAAATAATATAGAAGAAACGAAACTACCACTTAATGAAAGAAACATTACTATATAAAAAATAATTTACCGAAATTCTTGAAAAAAACGAAGATCAAAAAAAAAAATTTTAATACTTAATTTAGCCCGGAATTTATCGTTAATATTCATTTTAATTATATTTATCAAATCTTCGTGATCATATTTGGGATTCTAACTTCAGGCTTTTGACGGACATTCCATTAGAAAAATTGAATAAAAAATCAGACTTTTCCCCACTTTGTGCATCAATCAAGGACCAAACTGTTAATATAACAAAAGGAAAAGGGAAGAAAAGGAAAACTTTTATTTACTTGGAACAACTTCACAGTGAAACTAGTTACATTTTTTGTTGGGATATTGTTATCAAGAACACAAAAATTCAAATTCAGAAACACTCAAAAAACCTCTTGAAAATTCACTCAAAAGAACGAACATCTTAACAAATTTGATGTCCCCTTTATTCTTCCATCTCATCTTCATCGATTTCTTCGATCCTCATCTTCTTCACATTCTGAGCAGCATCGCTTTTTGGAACATTGTTGATTTGAATCAAAACATCAGATTTCTTACCAGTGGTTGCATCTACAAACCCCCCATTCTTCTCTACCCTATATGACAAGCTCTCCCCGTCCGCCCCTGCGTCGATGAACACAGTTGAGTTCTCGTCGATTTCTTCTCTGATCAGCATTCTGGATAGCTCCGTCACCACCTTTCTCTCTAGCCATCTTCTTATGGGTCTGGCACCATAAACCTGGAAAGAATCGAAACAAATGGAACGTGGAGTTAGCATTTTTGTTGAGACAAGATGAAGCTGCTTGTTCGTTTTCTTGATCAATACTTACTGGATCGTAGCTCTCTGCCAAGACATAATCGAGAGCAGCATCAGTCACGGCCAGGGCAACGCCCCGCTCGGCCAGGCGGGCTGCGACGTCTTTCATTTGCAGTCTGGCAACTTTCCTCAGTTGCTCGTGCGAGAGAGGATCGAATACTACAATTTCATCTAGCCGATTAAGCAGCTCTGGCCTAAAGTGCTTTCTCACCTGTCAAATTATGCAGGAATGAGCTTATTTTGTAATGAATAAATGAAGAATTGTGAACACAGAAAACAGAACTTGTTTTGTTTTTGGTACCTCTTGCATAACTCGATCACGAGCAACTTGCATTGTGCACTTGCCCATCAACCCAGAAAGGAGATGCTCAGCTCCAAGGTTAGAGGTCATAATAATGACTGTGTTTCTGAAATCCACAGTCCGGCCTTGGCCATCGGTCAGTCTTCCATCGTCTAAAACTTGGAGAAGAGTGTTGAAGACAGATATGTGAGCTTTCTCCACTTCATCAAACAGCACAACGCTGTATGGCCTCCGCCTTACAGCCTCTGTGAGTTGCCCTCCTTCCTCATGGCCAACGTACCTGAAAGAAACCACAAGACCCCAGTGAGATTTTGTTCTTGAAAGCCAAGAAAATACCAACAATTGGCTCTATGTGGTGAAGGATACTTACCCAGGAGGAGCACCAATGAGCCGTGAAACTGAGTGTTGTTCCATATATTCAGACATGTCAATTCTCACCAGGAGATTTTCGTCGTCAAAAAGTTGTTCAGCAAGCGCCTTGGCAAGCTCAGTTTTTCCAACACCAGTTGGACCAAGAAACAGGAAAGACCCAGTTGGCTGCTGTGGCCTTCCCAGTCCAGCTCTTGATCGTAAAACTGCCTCGGCAACAGCATCAACTGCTTGGTTCTGCCCCACAACTCTCTTGTGCAGTCTCTCAGCAAGCCCCACCAGCCTCTCTTTCTCATTCTGGCCAAGCCTCGTGACCGGTATTCCGGTCCAGCGGCTCACGACCTCGGCTACTTGTTCTGGTCCAACGGTTTCAGTTAACATTAGATTCTCATCAGTGTTCCCTTCAATCCGTGCAATTGCAGATTCTACTTCCTGGATTGCTCCATATCGCAAATCAGCAGCTCTTGCTAAATCATATCTTCTTTCAGCCTCTTGCAGGGCTATCTGTAGTTCCTCCCTCCTCTGCTTGAGTCTTCTAATTTCATCAACCCTTTCTTTCTCCTTTCTATATTTCATCAATAAAGGTTGAAGCTTATCCCTCAAATCATCAAGCTCTCTCCTCACCTGGAGCAAAGCAAATAAAATGTCAGAAACTGCATCGCATACCCCACTACAAAAGTAATCAAAGAAATCAATCTGTAAAAGGAATACTCACTTCAACAAGACGAGCTTTACTAGCTTTGTCCTTCTCCTTTTCAAGAGCATGAAGTTCAACTTCAAGCTGCATTCGCTTCCTCTCCAAGTTGTCAATTTCTTCAGGCTGACTATCAAGTTGGACCCTCACATTTGCACAAGCTTCATCAACTAAATCAATTGCCTTATCAGGAAGGTGCCGCCCTGTACAATGTAAACCAAACCCCAACATCAATATCTTCATGATCATTATAAAAAGCTCCAAGAGATTGATATGAGCTGAAAGGAAACAGATACATACCTGTGATATATCGACTCGAAAGCTGGGCCGCAACGACAAGAGCTCGATCTTGTATCCTAACACCATGGTGGCCTTCATATCTCTCTTTCAGTCCTCGGAGGATGCTGATTGTATCAGGCACACTAGGTTCAGCCACATAAACCTGTTGAAACCTTCTCTCAAAGGCCGCATCCTTCTCCACATATTTCCTATACTCTTCAAGGGTAGTTGCCCCAATGCAACGAAGCTGCCCTCTAGCCAGCATAGGCTTGAAAAGATTGGCAGCATCCATAGACCCTTCTGTTCTACCAGCACCAAGAACAAGATGAATCTCATCGATGAATAATATGACCTTCCCTTCTGCATCTTCAACTTCCTTCAAAACAGCCTTCAATCTCTCTTCAAATTCTCCCCTGTACTTTGCCCCTGCTACCAGTGCACCCATATCCAAAGCTATGAGTCTCACATCAGCAAGATTACTTGGGACGTCTCCCCTCACGATTCTTTGAGCTAATCCTTCCACCACTGCAGTTTTACCAACACCAGGCTCTCCGATTAGAACTGGGTTGTTCTTGGTTCTTCTAGATAAAATCCTCACCACCCTGCGAATTTCTTCATCCCGACCAATAACTGGGTCGAGCTTCCCCGCTTGCTCTACCAGGTCTCGCCCGTATGTTTTGAGGGCCTGAAATGTTGTATCTCCAGATGCACTCTCCACTTTCCTCCCCTCTTTTCCACGGAGTTTCTCGACCTCGGACTTAACTTTCGCAGTGGTGACACCGGCTTCTTTAAGCAAATCCCCAATCTGGGAATCCTCGAGAAGACCAAGAACCAATTGATCGACGGCTAAATGCGTGTCCCCTCGCGATTTCTGCGCAGCTTGTGCTCTCCGAATTACCTTGATCAGAGTTGTACTCGCCGGAACTTCGTCGGGTGCAGGGGATTGAGATGGGAGCTTCTTCAATGCCCGATTGAAAACCGTCTCCACTTCTTTATGGGCATTGTCGCCACCGGAACTCGAAATCGCTTGGCTCAATATTCCACTCCGATCAGAAATCAAAGCAACCGCAAGATGAAGTGGTGTCAACTGGGCATGGCCGGAATTCAAAGCCAGCTCGTGAGCCCCGGCGAGTGCCTCATTGGTCTTGTGGGTGAATTTGTCAGGATTCATATCCGCAAGAAATCTGAAAAGAAAAAAAAAACAACAAGAAAAGAAAAGAGAAACTATTAACATCAAATAGAAGAACAAACAAGACCAAGAACAATCGCATTGAATCAAAGGAATTCGATCACCATACCTTCAGATCAAAAAGAACGCAGTAGCAGTTGCACAAAACCCTTGTGGTATACTTCAAACGTTCTCTTCGTCGTCAAAGAAGAGAAATTCGATTGAGAATTAAGGAAGCGTTGATCAAGAATGTTTTCGCAGACGAATTGAACAAGAATGGAGAGAGAAGGAGGCGGCATGGTGTTCTTATGATATGCAAATGGAGACATCTGGAAGGAGCTAGAGTTTGCGAGATTTTACCAGAAATTTACACTACATACTGCCACGCATACTTCGGCGCGGGCCCCACTTCCTCATCTTATGCACCTTTTTTTTTCTTTTTCTTTTTTTGTAAATAAATCGATGTGGAATTAAAAATAAAGAAAAGTATCTTTATAACTATTTTATTTGCAAACTTTTTTTGTTATATAATATGTGATAAAAGTATTAATAAAAATCTAGTTCTATCAATTTTGCCTCTTTTTGTTTAATAAAATGCCCACTTCTTCCCTATTTTTTGTATTAGTTTTCATTTAATTAATAATTTCTAGTTTGACKGGATGAAATCGATGAATTTAATTGATTTCATCAATTAGATCATATTCATCCGTCGATTCTATTTTTAGACGATAAAATTTAAAGAAAAACAATAGATAGTTAATTAGATTAGGACAAAATTTTATTGAATGGTTGTTTAATTTTTCTTAAATTAATATATCAATTCATCATTAGTTTTTAGACAAAACCAACTTTACACATCTCCATTGCATTATAAGAATCATAAGCATAACTTAATGGTAATTGTTAAATATCTCCAACTAGTAATCGTCAAATATCTTCAACTAAAAGATCGTGAGTTCGATTTTTCATCTCACATATTATACCAAAAGAAAATATACGTTCTTTTTCAAATATAATTATTCCATCAAAATTTTAAAGTAAAACATTGTTATATTTATGTTCCTATTTTTGTTGTTAAAAGAATTTATATTGAAGTGGATTAATTCGATTATTTGTGTATTTAATGTCCCAAAGATATT